AATGTGCTGTAAAAATTTTGGAAATTTTTACCGAAGGAAATTCAAGAAAATTAAAATTAGAGCCATAAAAACGGTAAACAACGCTTTTGTTTGGGCATTTATAATTCAACATTAAAAGCCAAGAATCAACATATCATCATTGCTTATTACATTTGATAAGTTTGAAAGGACTGGGTGTAAAAAACATACCTTGCGTGATGCGCTGAACGTGTGCACACTACTGAACAAAAGTAGGCACCATCCTTTAAGGTGCGTTTTGGTTCTAAGTACAGAATTTTGCCGTCTGGAAGAAAACCACAACACACGACGCCATTGTTTTTTTTTTTACTTTCCCTACGCCCAAGAATATGTGAAGGACCAAAACACAAGAGGTAACAAAGAAATCTACGGGAAGTGGAAAAGAGGCAATTTCTTAGTATTTTCAAAGGGCCACTTGCCTCGCTTACCCTGCAAGGGAGTCCATACGCGCCCTCAGCTACCCCTATACGAAGTTAACGGAATTAACGATGAAAAGTTTAACAGATTCAGTTACGATCTTTTAGTATGTCATCATATTGTGTCTAGCTGACGAAAATATTGACCTCTGAAGGCCACGTTTTCGATCAAGAACTAGCCTTTCGCTTACTTGAAGTTCCTTTCCCAATATTCTAACCCCAGTAGTGCTTCCCACTAAAAAGAGTGATTTTATTTTATCGATTAACTGATTTTATCGATGCTACCGCTCCTTTTCAGTCGATGCCATGATAATAGCATCAATCAAATGTCNCAGAACGTGAAAAGGTGTAAATTAAAAGGATAATTTTAGATTTACATGGTGTAATTGCTGATTGAGATAAAGGAGGCTATCCATATTAAAAAAGAACTACCTTGCCTCAATCAGCAATTACACCATTACGATCTTTTAGTATGTCATCATATTGTGTCTAGCTGACGAAAATATTGACATCTGAAGGCCACGTTTTCGATCAAGAACTAGCCTTTCGCTTACTTGAAGTTCCTTTCCCAAAATTGTAACCCCAGTAGTGCTTCCCACTAAAAAGAGTGATTTTATTTTATCGATTAATTGATTTTATCGATGCTACCGCTCCTTTTCAGTCGATGCCATGATAATAGCATCAATCAAATGTCCGATCATTGGTAAACAAGTTATGGTCATTTTCGTGACGCAAAAGGTCACCACAGCAACAGCACAGCCCGTTAAAAGACCCGTTTTTAACTTTAAATACTTATCACTCAAAAATGGCTCCGATGACCCCCCATTTAATAACATTATCGTAGCTGGAATTTTAAGTGAAATACAACTTTTTTGCCCAGGTTGAAAACAGTGTGGGAGAGGGTTCTGAGACACGAATTTTTCGCAGATTTAAGGCGGCTCTAAAACTGCCCCCAACCAAAAATTTGTTTAAAATTTGTGAAAGGATGCTGCTTACAATTCGACAATAGTAAAATGGGCGTCACAGAACTCGTTTTTGAGTTACAAGCACTTAAAGCTCAAATTTTGATTGCTCTTAGAAGGCATACCTCTGCCACAGTTACATGTTATGTCAAGATTGGGAATTTTTTTGATCCCATCAGTAACGAGATAAATTTCCTTAAGAAATGCTGAAAAGTGTTGTCAGCCACCTTAAGCCAATAGAGTTCACTTTTAAATCTCTTCGCGACAGTTCACTCACTCAAGATAGGAAGAAAATTAAACACGAAACAATTTACGGACTTGAAAAGACTGTTACAAAGTTCAACTCTCCTACATCATCTCTCTCTCTCTCTCTCTCTCTCTCTCTCAGCTATTCAACTCCTCCTTCGTATGTCTTAAACGCCACTTATAGCGATTGTACAGTTTGTTCTCACGCTACTAGAGAGGGAAGCAACTCAATGAGATAAGCTCAAGTACATCCACTACGTCAGAAGCAGTTGTTGTTAAGAGCCAGTGCCCATAACTATGGACCAAACAACGGCACAAGTCGAAAAATCGATTTCGCTCATTTTTTGCCCATAGATTGGCCCTAGCTAGCAAACAAACGGACCATAGTTAGTTTCTGCTAATGCAGTTTTTTGGGGGAGAAATTTGCGAAAAACGATTTCGCCCCGATTGAGCTCAAAATCTACTTCCTGTTATGCT